TTCCATCGAATCATCAATTTTCAAGTCTTGGATTTACCGCGAATCTACGAATCTGCATTACAAATGGGTATGAAAATTTATGACCAACATTTGACCAATTTTTCTGTTTCTAAAATATATTTGCTTAATGCAAAAGTATACATAATTCCAAAAAATGAAAGTTCACCTTGGCTGCATTTTTATTTGTGTCTAGAGCTCCACCATAAAAATCGGGTCTTCGACCCCGCATATGTCGTCTGTTCCGATCGGAACCAAGACGTGTGCAGTTTTGGAATGTGAATTTCCGGTTAGCAAGCAGGATATGACACTCGACCACTTCTCCAGTGGCTATTGGTTCACTAGGCCGTCGAACGAGGTCACTCCATCGATCGTCGATCGAGTGTTATTTTTTCATATGATGCACGGAAAAATTCCGTGAAAATTTCCAAGGTCGGACATGCTTCGCGTGATTTATGCTCAACTGTGAACTTTCCTTGGCCATTCATATTTGAGTGACAGTCGCCAGCGCGAAGATGTTCAATTAGAAAAATAGGCTTGCGGTAAAAGCACCAGCCTAACGACTCCCCTGAGGCGCACCGATTTTATCCCAGCACAAATGCGCCGCTGCATTGATTTTAATCCGAGTATTTTCCGGCATGGAGGAGTAAAAATTGCGAAAATAGTGGGCAAGATGCACTGGGAACTGAAGAAGGCGGTCGGTCGCATCACTGCTAAATTTGGCTCTAGACGAATGTTGTTAACCTACAGAGAATTAGAGATTCATGTCCGATTACCATAAATTATTCATAAAGTTGTTAATGGAGTTAAAAATTACTTTTTTTATCGATTTTCAACTTTTTTGATTGAAAATAAAACTTTCGGAGTCCAACAGAAACTTTCGAGACTCGATTATTTGTTGATTTTACAAGGTTAAGTACTTATTCTCACTTTCAAACAAATCACAAAATTATGTTTGGGTAATGGATGGCTACTGGAACATTAACTTTCAAAATAATGTAAGTGTAGGGTCACGACCGTGCTGACAAATCTTCATTTAATATGCAAACACTCGATCACACTGAGGTCCAAAATTAATCTATAGAGGTATGTTGAAAAATGTGTAACCATAATTCAGAAAAATCCAGATCCAAGAAAGATGTCACGTCAAATTAAGTAAAATAAATGTCTTTTAATTTTATAATGTGACGCCTAGCTATTGAAAGAAACTGAGTGTAAGAAAAGTGAGAAAAATTATGCACAGAAGTTTATATCTCACGAGTCATTAAGGATAATGGGCGACGGCGCTTCGTTGCAGAATAGTGACTAGAATCTTCCATTATCCTATTATGTATCTATTTTACCAAAAACAAGTTAAGCTATATTTGTAGATATTCATTGTTATTACAATAAGATCAAATACGTTACGAAGCTGATTATTTATGCCCAGAAATCTGTTAATTATTATCGGTGTGATAGCATGAAGATTGTCTTTCCTTACCTAGACGATCAAAGCATTAAAAATCTTCGATTATTCTAATGCAAAGAATGATTATAAATAACTACCAAAATTTTCAATTTTATTAAAAACGATAATACGTATTTTTAACTGAATAAAACTTCATCAACCAAATGTTGGTTTACTACACCCCAACAAGTACCTACTTGTTCTTAAAAGAATATTTTGATTTAAACGTCGAGACTGTAATATGATCTGATTTTTTGACCTTTCATATTTGTGAAAGGAGTAAAGTTCGCCCTTTCTTTTAAATGAAGGCACAAAAAGAAGTAACATGGTGTAAGTAAGAGGTCTTACAGGCCACCGAATGCCAACTACTTAAATGTGCATTATCCTGAGCGATGGAACGGAAATTGTAGTCTCCGTATCTTATGCCTCCTGGCTTCTTGTTATGGGCCTGTTTAAAAGGAAAGAATTCCAACACTGAAATTAAACCTTTCTTTTAGGCGCAATTAAGTTTATATTTTAATGGAGATCTTTTTGAATACTCGGTTGAGTAAGATTTATCATTAAGTTGTAGAATTTCTACTGCAACTACATCTTTTAAGTTAATAAAAATATTTGACATTTCTATTGTAATACATTTAGATTTTGTATTCTTTAATGATTGTACACGTTAATGAAAATTCAGTTAAGTCAAAGACTTTGTTACGTTAAAAAAAATGGTCGACGGTTATTTCGACAGAAATTCCCTCGCCCCTGAAATACAATAAAACAAATCCAGCTTTTCCGAAAAATTATAAAAATTTGATTAGACGAATAAGTATGAGTACTCTTATAAGTTAAAATAAAGATATGTATGTAACGTTAAAGTAAATGTAAAGAAGCATGCTGGACGTACGTTCCAAATGAGTTTTTCCTTAACAAAATTTTGTGATGATGTCATCAACATTTTTTTTTCAAAGTTATATTGCAAAATATTGTTATTCAGTTTTTTTTCAAAAATTCTGGAGGTCTAGGGTGAAAATTCGACACGGATTCATACACCACAAGTGCAGGAGTATCTTATTTTATAAAATTGAAAAAAACTTTTTATTATAAATTTTGGAGATGACGTCATCCCATTGGTGGTGGGGATGATTATTCAAATTTTAGTTAGCGTTTAACCATCTACATGATATTCCTAATATAATTTTCAGTTACAGAAAATCTCATTTGGTAAAAATTTCAAATTACAGTTTAGAATTATTTTTGGAGAAAGTAATTTTTTATGTTACTGTATATTGTTTGTTCAAAGAAAGATCAAATTTTAAACATTGTCGTGCGCATTTGCGTTGAACCCGACTCGAAAAGTTTTCTCTAAATAATTAAAAAGAAAAGTTCGGTTTACGCCATTTCAGAATTTTCACTTTAAACGACACATCTAGTGATTAAGATGATTATTTTATAAACTTTATAAACTAATCTTTTAAGCCGCACTTATTAAAAAACTTGTTATAATACCGGAGATTTTATATTTTTGAAAAAAAAACACACAATTTTCCAAAAAATAGTACCAAAATGAGTTCCATTTAATAAATAAAAGTCGTCTTCATTCCGGTGAAAACAAGTACCATGACAATTGGATTATTTCTAAATAGACTCCCTCTTCCTCATTCTCTATAACGTATTGTAGTAGTTTTGAAGTAATTTGAGTGTTCACTTTAAATGAAATTCCTGTTATATTGAATAAACTGTTATGAAGTTTTAATAAATATTAAACGAACCTTTAAACCACGTGCAGCGAAGATATAATGTAATTAGATATTGAACGACGACCTAGAAACGACTTCTAGATTTATTAAAACTAACTAGACAGATTTCACAGGAATATTTAAATCAAAGTAAATTAAAACAGGAGGCTTCGGTAATTTTTAACAAGGCTGATATCTGAACATTATAGACATTTTTTGTTATACTCTGTTGGATTAAAATAACTCTAATAATTTTGTTATCCTTTTTATAGTTTTTAAGAGCACGTCGTTTTTTGTATAAGGTTTCAGCTATAAAAGTTTATCGATTATGGTACATATAAAAAAAATCTCCCTTGGATAAATTTATAAGAAAACGAAGAATGAAATGTAAAAAATATCTGGAAAGGACCTCTATGTATTCATAACTAAATATATTTTACATCAATAAAATATATATAATCTAAGAAAAAGAGCAATTTATTAGTCTTTCAATATTTCTTTAATATTTTTGTTCAGATATTACTTTGCTAGGAGTAAGTATTACGTATACACACATCAATCATTGTATTTGCTCCGTTGCGTCCTTCAGGAAAAATGTCCAGATCTTTCCACGATTTCTCGGAAAGTGTTGTCGCCCGGAGATTTTGAATTATGTAGAAACATTGCTCGTAAAAAGAGTATACTAAGCTAAGTTTATAATCAAAATAGTTTTCAAAGTGATTAATCACACCGAAGGCTAGACAACCCGTTGGGAAGCTGTAGACTGCAGTTTCGATCTTGTTGGATCTCATCAGTACAGCCCATCCCATCATCTAACTAACATCTCACTAACACAAAATAGTTTTGCCTAACATGCAACCAATCGAAGTTCTTCATTCTTTCTTATCGCTGAAATACGCTACAGAGAAAAATTAAATTTGTAGTTTGTGTTTTACTAAAGCGGTAACTGGCAGCAAACAATGAAATATAAATCCTAATTCTTATCCTTTCGCTTCTTCCATATCTACATCTAAGTTTTTCTACAATTGTAGGAGGGGTCGATTTTCAACATTAGAAAATTATTTAATTTCAATATTTAAGCTTATTCAGAATTCTGATAAATACGCTGATTTCAAATTGGCACGTATCATTTGTGACAGATTGAGGAGTATCTTTACCAGGGAGGTTATTCGAGCATTGCTGGACTATAAAATTGTATTAATGTACATAGGTAACGAATTAAAAATGTATTAACTCTTACTTAAATAGCTGCTAGTTAGCTAGATAAAAACCTGGAAATGTAGATACATAAATTTTAAATTCCAAATTCAAAATCCTTGAGCGTCTAATTTTTCCGAGAATTGGAGGAATGACTTCCTGATTTTCGCCGTTTCTCGCCAGAACCACTTGTAGCATGTACACAATAGCATGCAAACCAAAAATAAGCAAAGCTCTTTACACTAATTGCCTAAACACCTGTACTCTATTACGGAATAAAACCCTCGTTAAATTCCCTCGATCCTTATTCAGAGGCATCAATTTAAAAAGTTCAATGCACGCTCCTCGAAAAAAAAAATCCACAACCGTTGTTAACACCCAAGCTCGCTCGAACCCCCCAAATCTCAACCAAGTCCAAATCCCCATCGTAAAAATCCGCTTAGACCCTTTCCATCGTCGGATCCGCGATATTTTCCAGAGGCACGTTCTCCCCCAGGCTCTGCTTTCGCCGACGATTAATTCTCATCGGTCTCGTAAAAAACATCGACTTTCTCCCGACGCGACGTTTTAATCGAGGAACGGGAAGGTTCCAAGGTCTATCGAGCGACAAGTGTAAGGGAGGACCCAAAACTCACCCCAACGTGTTGCCCATCGACGAACACCTGTGGCACGAGGATGTGGTCGCAACGCATGCGTTCTCTTATCTCGTTCTGATATTCGTTGCTCATGAAGACGTCTCGTTCCTCGAACTTTATGAGCAGGGTGCGAAGGATCTGTTTGACTTTCATGCACGCCTGGTAGGTCTCGCGCAGGATGCCCATCGTCGTCGTGTACACCACCACTTTGCCGGCGTCTTTTTCCTTGTAGTTCTGGAATTAGAAAATGAAGGAGTAGAGAGGTGCAAAATTCAATGTGATTCGGGATTTTATTGAAGTTTGATCGAAAATGTTTTCTATTTAAACAAACTGTAATCTGAATTAACACAGCGGAAGTGTAGCATGTACAAGGTGTGCAAAATACTAATTATTATGTATATCTTGGGCTCAATATGGATTTTCGAAAGGTAGTTCAACGTCAACGAATCTACTTACTTGTCAATGTTTCACCATTAACATCTTTGAAAAAGCTTTCAAGTTGATTCCTTTTATGGAGATCTATCTACATTTGATATAGTAAATCATAACATTTTATTACTGACATTAAAGGAAAGTTGATCGTAATGTCATCAGGTGTTCCCCAAGTGCCGCATTAGGGTCAATTGCTATTTTACTGTTTATAAACGGTGTTCATCAAGTTGTCTTTAATTCTAATATTTCGTCGAAGACTGCCTGCTATTTCAAAGAGACATTGATGCAGGTAATTAAAAGAAATGCCTTTTAATACAATTTTCTTGGAATATTCTATTAATGGTTATTCAGTTCATCACAGCAATGATTTACGAGTGTGTTAGATAAAAGATTTAGATATAATTTTATTCAAAAGTGATCCTTTAATGATCATGTTCAGATTACGTCTAGATTCCAAGTTCTTGGCTCCATTAATACAAAATCAAAGAGCTTATATCTGTTTTTCGATCAATAGTAGAAATAATTCAACCGCGTGGTTACCATCTTACCTCGTATATAGATAAAATTGTTTCATGTAACAGTACAAAATAAGTTTTACGAGTTTTAATTTGAATTTCAATATGGAACCAAAGTTCCTTCAAAGCTACTATGAAGAGATTATAAGAATAATAGAGCACTGAAAGATACAGTAGGATTTAATATTTCTTCGAAATTTGATTTTTGGGTAATGTTACTACATCAAATTTGTTACTATAAGTCATCCTCAGATTACGAACATCACTTAATAAGTTACTGCAAGCGGACTAGTGTTATCCACTTGATACTTCTAAAATTCAGTTCTAGAGGAACATTTGGCGGTTAAAGTTATTTTAATTTTATTTTGATTTATACCTACGTCTCTCGTCCTCATACTGTTACAAGTTTAATAATTTCAGAATACGTATTTCAGTGCCCTAAATTAAATTAAGCTGAATATAGAACGCTTTCGTTTTGTGTTGATTCATCCAGCTGCTAGGAAAAAAAAATAAGTCGTAGATCATTACCAAACACACACTTACTTTGCCCAACGTTGCTAACGTTGTTAATGAGACACGTTAGCATTCTGCAGCAAGTTTAATATTTTCAGGATACGTATTTCATCGCTGTGAGATAATTTAAGGTGAAAATAAAACGCTTTCGTTTTACGTTTATTCATGTAACTGCAAGGAGAAAGAGAAGTTGTATAGTGGTGGAAATACCCCAGGTAGAAGGTTTTCTCTTTCTACCTTATGCACTCTTTAAATTTTGAGTATGTCGTAGAAATTTTATGTCAAAACAATGTAACGATTTACTGTTTAAACAAAACAAGTTATATTAAATGTGTTGGATTATCTAGAAAGAAACCATGATGTGGTGCAATTTAAGGAAAAAACGGGAAGACAGAAGTAGTGGCCTAAATGTTAAAATTTCTGCAAAATCTTTATATACAAAGAAATATAGGTTCAAGTGATATGGAGTACGAAGAGAATATGTCCACTACTGTTAGATATATAAAAACTCAAGTAAATCATGCAGATTTAATATGTCAGTTAGGAAAATTATGTAGAAAATGATTGCATCTAACGAACACGTAACTAATATTAAGTCGCTTCATGCTACAGTTATGGAAGAGATCCCGGGCTTTAAAGTTGGACCCAGGACACTAAACACAAAGATTAGAAAAGTTGGTTTTAAATTTTATAAAAATAATAATCGATTGGTTCTAACGGAGAGACCATCCATTAAGCTAAGCTGAACAAAATTTTTGCGTGAATATCAGCACCACAAAAAATTAAAATCATATAAACCACTTTTTCTGGATGAAACATGGATAAATAAGATAAGTAAAGGTACATAGTATAATGTAAAAAAACATGGCTCTAATTTTCAAGGCAAAAACAAAATTTGGCGATTATCATGATAACATGAACCAGGCAAATTTTGAAAAGTGGTTTAAAGAGCAATTAATATCCAATCTTCCGGAACCGTCTCTTATTATAATGGATAATGCAACTAACCACAGAAGACTTATGGTGTTTATTTTAGTTTTAATAAGTACACTATACTTATATTTCTGCTTTGTTTGTAGGAAAAAATTCCTCGAAAGTGTTGGACAAAGAAAAAATGGTGGCATGGTTAAACAAAAAAAAGTAGATTATCCCGAATAAGTGATGAAAGATGAGATTTGGAATATTGTGCGCAATAGACTGCCCGAAAAATTTAGATCACTATGCTCAAGAACATGGACATTAGGTTCTAAGACTTCGGCCATACCACTGTAATTTTAATGCAATTGAAATAGTGTGGTCGGAATGAAAACGAAAGTACGGTAAAAGCTTGCAAAAACTAATACTTGTCCTGTTGACAAACTTTCGAAAATGTAATAAACCAAGTTCGCACTATGAATATTGGGAAAATTATTATTACTATGTGTGTGTATGAGTTGGTCAACAGGTAATACCAAATTATAGACCAGCTGATTATCAAATTAATCTCTCTCAAACAAACAGCTATAAATTACTGTTGTCCCTACACAAGGTGAGATCAAAAATCAAGAGAGAATTTAAGATTGATAATTAAAGAACAGCCAGGAATTTTTACGTAAATAAATCTAACATGTTTTGATGGCAGTTATAGTTAGAGTACACTTCATGTAGAGGAGGGTATTTCAATCCTTGGTGTTGGTAGATGGAAAAATTGTTGAAGCCGCAATGATAACCTGGGCATACAAAAGTGAAGCTAGCCAAAAGCTGTGGACAATCGATACTATAATGTATTAGTTAAGTATTTGAGGAAATATAAAGAAGCTCTGACACGCCTAGTCTTTAAGTTGTTATACCCAAATCTGATTAAAAGGTCAGATTGGGGTAGGTCTCTAGGCGGATAAATAGCGTTTATTTTGAGTGTTAAAAACTTGAGAAAACGCCTCTGGATATTTTCTATACATTGAATGTAAAATTGAGCTGAAGGAGCCCATACAATACTGGCGTATTAAGTATTAAAAGTAGTGATCTTATTGAAAGAACTGGATGATCTGATGATAAAGTCAAGAGATTTAAACGCTTCAGCAGTTATATTACTAATATGTAGAGAGAACGTGACTTTAAAATCAAACATTATTCCAAGATCTCTGAAGGAATCCAGTCTTGATAAGATATTCAAATTAATAGTGTAATTGAAAGTAAGTGTGCTACTTTTATTTGTTAGACATAATGTAGCATTTGCCAAAATTTATAGGCATCATGTTAGATTTACTACAGTTTTCAAAAGTGTGAATATCTTTTTGAAGAATTTGATAGTCTTCAACATTAATAATATGACGAAAGATTTTTAGGTCGTCTGCGTAAATTAAAACCTGAGAACTAATGTTTTTAATAACATCGCTGATGTAGATATCGAAAAGCAGAGGACCTAGAACAGAGCCCTGTGGGATCCCGGACGGGACCAAAATTTTTTCGGATTGATGTTGAAAGACCTTCACGCATTGATATCTACTAGTTAGGTAAGATTCAATTAATTTCAGTCGGAGAAGCCACAGTTGTGTAATTTTATCAGTAGAATTCTGTGGTTCAGTTTGTCAAACGCCCTGGAAAAATCAGGATATATCACGTCTATCTACTGTTCAGCGTCAAAACTCTTGGTTACGAATTTGGTGAAACAACTCAAATTGGTTAAAGTAGAACGACCACTTATGAATCCATGTTGGGATTCCGTTAACCAATTGCGCACATTAAATGAGAGAAATTTATGAAGGATCATCTCAAAAACTTTTGAAAAATTGCAAATCAGTGAAATAGGCCGGTAATTCTCTATTAAATTTCTCTTCCTTTTCTTAGAAATTGATGAGATCACAGATACTTTCCAAACGTCTGGAAAAGATGTAGTTTTCAAAACAATATTATAAATACAACTAATAAAGGATAAGAAAATACGGAGGTACAGTCATGTAATAAAAACCTGGTATATTATCATGGCCACTAGTCAGATTAGGTTTGATAGTCAACAAGGTTTCAAAGATGATGGACTCCGTAACAGAAATACAATTGATGGAATTATTGCTGGACTCATCAATAAACTTATCAGTAGAACTTGGACTATAATCCGGACAGCTGGACCGAAAGCTGGACATTTACAATGTCTTTGGGATTACGCAAAATATTATCCAAGTAAATCATTTCAGAAGGAATACCAGAACGCATTTTCAGACGACTAATATGAACTCAGAATTTCCTTGGTTCGGACTTAATAATGCTTCCAGATTTCATGTTTAAGTTCGTTATATTAAGCACACGAAAAAAATCATAGATTCTGCGTGGTAAACGACAAGATTCTGGACAATTGTGAAACAAATCAAGTCATTGTCAATGTTAAATCCTTTTCAGATGATGACACTGGTGGTGATGATTTAGAGTTGTGTTAAAAATTAATATCTAAATAAAGAATAAAACTTATAATTAATTTTGAACTCCTGCAATTAGTAAGTTATCCGTAACATATGTACAAGAAACTACATAAAAACGTCACAGTCTAAGCGTTTGATTAGGGATATTTCCACGACTTTATATCGTTCCAGAAAATACACTTATTCTGAGATTATTGTGGCTCATATCTCCATTTGGAATTAAACAGTCATTCAAATTTTCAAAACGTCTAAATATTTTTTTTAATGAACCCAGGTCGTTCTCTAGTTCCGTCACTGCAGCAGATCATACTTCATTTGGCTGATGTTAACAATAGAAGAAAATTTGCATGAACATGTAGGGTGTGAAAAGAATAAGTAAATT